CTTGCACACTCAGTGGTGCATTCTTCGTTCCAGGTTCTGGGTGCACATGCTTGTACATACACACATCCTTGGCCTAGTCGGAAGCCCTGGGCCCTTGCCAACTCCCTGGAGGAAGGCCAGTAGCATTTCTGCCCTGCGGGGGGTGAAGAGGGTGGCAGAGGGCAGAGCCGGGGAGGCTCCGTCCCAGGGGACGGTCTCCACAGCACACACAGTAAGCACCGTGCCCAGCTGGAAGTCAGTCACCAGGGTGACGGCCACAGAGGCCACCCAGCAGGTGCGAAGTACAGGGCCCATAAACCCCCAGTGAGTCCAGAAGGTGGCACCGTGAACATCACATGATGCACCCGGCTGCCTGATTGTGGTCCAGGGGCCCACGAGCCTGTCTGATTGCGTAACTGTGTGTGTGTGTGTGTGTGTGTGTGTGTGTGTAAGACTAGTTTTTGGTCTGGTTTGGTTTTCATTATTGTTTGAGAGGCAGAGAGACAAAGAAAGACGGAGGCCTCTCGTCTCTGGATCACTGCCCAAACACCTGCTTCCACCAGGACTGGACCAGACCACAGCCAGCAGCCAGGCGCTCCAGCCAGGTCTCCCGTCTGAGGGGGGCCTCAACCACTCACGCCATCGCTGCTGCCTGCGAGGGTCTGCGTTAGCAGGAAGCTGCCGGGGGGGCCAGAGCCGGGACCCCAACCCAGCACCGTCGTGTGGGAGGCAGCTGTCCAGCAGCTTAACACCGGGCCAAGCGCCTGCCCCTGGGTGAGGGGTTGGGTCCAGACCTCGCCTGCCAGGCATGGGCTCTGAGTCTAATTCCTCGGCTTGTGCAAAGTGCGGAGACCACAATCCTCCCGAGAGTAGAGAGACTGCACTTTGGAGAGACCAGAGGCGGGGCCAGGACCGCCCAGGGCCAGCCACAAGGGGCAGACCAGCGCCAGCGCCGCAGCTCACTAGGCTAATCCTCTGCCTTGCGGCGCCGGCACCCCGGGTTCTAGTCCTGGTCAGGGCACCGGATTCTGTCCCGGTTGCCCCTCTTCCAGGCCAGCTCTCTGCTGTGGCCTGGGAGTACAGTGGAGGATGGCCCAGGTACTTGGGCCCTGCACCCCATGGGAGACCAGGAGAAGCACCTGGCTCCTGCCATCGGATCAGCGCGGTGCACCGGCCGCAGCACACCGGCCGCGGCGGCCATTGGAGGGTGAACCAACGGCAAAGGAAGACCTTTCTCTCTCTCTCTCTCTCTCTCTCTCTCTCACTGTCCATTCTGCCTGTCAAAAAAAACAAAGAAAAAAAAAAGAAATGCAGACCCACGGACCCCTCAGGGACCTGGACGGGAATCCTGCTGGGATGGCCAGGGATGGCCGGTAATATTTGAGACACCCCCCAAGGAGCCTCAGTGACCTTGGAGGTTCCCACGTCCACTAGCCTGGCAAAGGTTCTGGTTAAGCCCTGTGGTTAAACCCCGCTCCAGCGGGTGAGCGCCCTGTGGCTTCCGTCCGCTGCAGACCTGAGCCTGCACGCCGATAAACAGGTGGAGGAGGGCTAGCGCGTTTCTCCCCACCTCTCCCAGGCTCCGAGGTGTCCATGAGAGAAGAGTCGGACGGCGACCAGAACCAGAGTGACGATGGTGAGGCCGAGACATCACCCACGAAATCTCCGACCACTCCCAAATCCGTCAAAAGCAAAAACTCTTCAGGTACAAACCGCCGGTGGGAAACTCCGTGTGGATCCACAGGTGGGGAGGGGGCCCTGGGCCCAGCCAAAGCCAGCAGCTCCAGCTGGGTCTCCCACGAGGGTGCAGTGGGTCACCGGGACTCAAACCAGCGTCCGTATGGGATGCTGGCATTGCAGGCGACAGCTTAACCCACTGCACCACCATGCTGGCCCCTGGCTTTGGGTGTTTGAACGAGGTCGTTTGCTCCTCACTGCGCAGGCCCTGGGGCTGTGTCCCACCTGAGACTTAGGAGGCAAAGCCAAGGTTTGCATGGTCAGTGGCTCCTGTCACTACTGCTCATGGGTTCTGGTGATCATTAATGCCTTGATGTTCCATGCCCCGGACGTGGCTGCTCACCAGGACAGAGCCAGCCGTCTGACCAGGTGCGTTGGGAGCCACAGAGGGGCAGGAGGGGCAGCTGCAGAAGCGAGACGGTGGCCGTGCTGTCCCACCCCAGGACAGCTGTGAGACCCCACCACCACCCAGAGACTCCCACAGGGCTGCCTGCAGCGCCACCCCCTCAGAGCCTGCCCCGGGACTGGGGCCCTGGGGGGCTGAGGGCCTTCCGCACTCTCCGCAGAGTTCCCGCTGTTTGCCTACAACAATGGGGTGGTGATGACCTCCTGCCGCGAGCTGGACAGCTCCCGCAGCGCCCTCTCGGCCGCCTCTGCCTTTGCCATAGCAACCGCAGGAGCCAACGAGGGCACCCCCAACAAGGAGAAGTACCGGAGGATGTCCCTGGCCAGCGCAGGTACGCGGGGGCCCTAAGGTGGGGCCCGGGGACAGGACCTGCTGGGAGAGCCCCTGGCCTCGACTCCAGGCTCCCACTGGGACTTTCACACCCCACTCTGGTCTGCACCCCACACCTGGAGCCAGGGCCTGTACCCTCCCCTCCAGCTCCTCACTGGGCTGCTGCAGGGGCCACCCCCCATGCACCCCCCCACCCCAGTGCTTCGCCTGCCCCTGCCTGCTGCCTGGCCACCCACTGGGCCAGCTCCTCCCAGGTCGCAGAGTACATTCTGTGGCAGAGGAGTTAGTGTGGCCCCATGAGTGGTGGAGGGAGAGGCCGCCAGGGTCCCCCAGCTGCCCCGGGGCCTGCTGGGGGTGCCGTGTGTGTGGACTGTGTCTCCTGCAAACTCATGGCGTCTGTCTTGCTGCCCAGAGCTTGGCTGTTAAACATTTGCTCCCATTGGGGTTTGGCGTTGGCCCAAACTTGGGACATCTGCCTCCCATGTACGAGGGCCTGGGTTCAAATCCCGGCTCTGCCCAATTCCAGGTTCCTGCTGACATGCACCTGAGAGGTAGCAGGTGATGGCGCCAATACTTGAGTCCCCGCCACCCACATGGGAGACCCAAACAGAGTTTCCGGCTGCTGGCCTCGGCCTGGCCCAGCTCCAGCCATTGCGGGCACTTGGGGAGCGAACCAGTGGATGACAGATCTCTGTCTCTCAAAATAAATCTGCAACTAAAAAATTTCTGATCGGTGCCATCATCACCCCGTCGCCCAGCAGCCCTGAGGAGCGGCCTCAGCTGCACCAGATGCGGGCGTGGGAGCCTCAGGTCCCCTGTCCCCTCTGCCATGCCTCCCACCAGGCTTTCCTCCTGACCAGAGGAACGGGGACAAGGAGTTTGTGATCCGAAGAGCGGCCACCAACCGTGTCCTGAACGTGCTGCGACACTGGGTCTCCAAGCACTCTCAGGTGCGAGCCCCACCCACCCCGAGCCCCCCAGGAAGACAGCTGTCCCCCTACCCCGAGCCCCCCAGGAAGACAGCTGCCCTGCCCACCCTGAGCCCCCCAGGCAGACAGCAGCCCCTCCACCCCAAGCCCCCCAGGAAGACAGCTGACCATGGACACTGGTCCCCAGGAACCAGCTGCTGTCCCAGGCTGTGCGAGGGAGGGAGGGAACCCCAAAGCTGCCCCTTGGAGGGCATGCAGAGCATGTCCCCACCTCTGTGTGCAGCAGGGACGCGGGTAGATTCAGGCCTCCCTGGCCCATGGGTGTGGCTGGCTGAGGGCTGGCACCTGCTCTCACCCCGTGGGGCCCTGCCTCTGTTCCGAGGCCCCAGTGTGCCCGGCCACGCAGCAGCCACCGATAAGTAAACGAGTTGGTGTGTAAACAGAGCAGTTGTTGCCTCGCAAACCTGGGCCCATACAGCAGGGCAGTAGCCGGAGCTCCCCGTCCCGTCCCCCCGGCAGGACTTCGAGTCCAACGAGGAGCTCAAGTGCAAGGTGATTGGCTTCCTGGAGGAGGTGATGCACGACCCAGAGCTCCTGACCCAGGAGCGGAAGGCTGCGGCCAACATCATCAGGTAAGGGTAGGGCCAGCGCCCTCCCCACCCCAACCTCTGCCTCCACAGGGGCTGGCCAGAGGCCAGGAGAACAGCCCCAGGCAAGATCGGGCAGGGTAGACTGAGGCTGGAGCACCTGCAGCCCGGGGCCCCCCATCTACAGCCAGGCTGAGCAGCACGCGGTCTGGGGTGTCCTGCCCCCTCCGTGCCTCCTCCTCTACCACCGGCCCTGGCTCCTGACTCCAGCTTCCTGCCAGGCAGACCCCAGCGGGCAGCAGGGATGGCTCCAGAACTGAGGGCGATCAGGACTGAGCGCCCAGCTCCCGGCTTCAGCCACGGCCAAGTCTAGCCCCAGTCGTCGTGAGCATTTAGGGGGTGAAACACCCACAGGGAACTTCTCCTCCACTCCCTTCCTCCCTCCCTCCCTCTCAAAACATTTAAGAATTATTTATTTATTTATTCATTTGGAAGGCAGAACGAGACCGACAGAGACATCTTCCACTCACTGGTTCACTCCCCAAATTTCTGCAACAGCCAGGGCTGGGCCAGGTCAAAGCCAGGAGCCGGCAGCTCCATCTGGGTCTCCCACGTGGGTGGCAGGGGCCCGAGTACTGGAGCCATCGCCTGCTGCCTCCCCCGGGGGGCTCATCAGCAGGAAGCTGGAACCGGAAGTGGAGTAGTCGGGACTCGAACCGGGCGCTCCAGCAATATAGGATGCGGAGACCCCAAGCAGCACCTTCACTGCCTTGCCAAACGCCTGCCCCTCAAAATAGCTTTTCAAAATGTGGGAAATTCGGTTCTCAGCCACCTGCGCCCTGGTGGCTGGCGAATCCTGTCCTGGACAGCGCAGGCATAGCACAGCCCTGGCCTGTGTGTGCTCAGGAGCTCAGGAAAATCTGAGTAAACTCAGACCTGTGCCAGTCCCTCCACCCCTCCAGCAGAGCCCAGGGGGCAGCAGCAGCCGGTGACTCTCTCGGCCTCACTTTTCCCCTCTGGAAAATGGGTGGCCAATGCCCACTTCAAGGACTGTGTTGAGGGGGTGTAGCTTCTGCCGGTTGTTCAGGGGCATGGGGCACAGGCCCGCCACCCACTCCGCCCACAGCTCTCCTCCCTCCCAGCCCAGCTGGATAAGGGACCAGGTGCCGGCCTCTCCTCCCCACCCAAGCCTTCCTCCTTCCTGCCCCAGGTCCCCACTCCCCCAGGCCCAGACCCGGAGTCTCTTCAAAGGCCCCGACCCCTGCAGGCACACACCGGGCAGCTGGCCCTCGCTATGGTGGGAGACAGAGGCTGAGCTGCAGCCCGGGCATTCCAAGTGCATTGTGGTCCTGAGTGGCTGTTTCCTGGCTGTAGAATATCTAAGAGACTTCAACACATTCGTGGACAATGGAATTAAAAGTTAACTTTCTTTTAATGCACCAAGATTTTGAGATACGTGCAGTTTCTCCATAAATACACATTTTGCTTTCAAGATTTATTTATTTGAAAGGCAGAAGGCGGAGTTAGAGAAAGAGAGAGAGAGAGAGAGAGAGAGAGAGATCTTCCACCTGCTGGTTCACTCCCCAAATGGCTGGAGCTGGGCCAGGCCAAAGCTAGAGCCAGGGGCTCCATCCGGGTCTCCCACGTGGGTGGCAGGAACCCAAATACTTGAGCCATCACCTGCTGCCTCCAAGAGTGCACATTTGCAGGCTGCTGGGCTCGGGAGCAGAGCTGGGACTCGAACCCAGGCCCTCCCATACGGGCCGTGAGCGGCTTCACCATGAGCCTTATTTTCTCCTGACCATTGGGAGAAGCCCTTGTGTGCACAGATGCCAGAGAAACCTCCTCCCATTATATGGTGACCCTTCCGCCAGGGCTGATCCCCGGCCAGGACGCCACGGCCTCCAGCCCAGAGCAGGCATGGCCCCAGGCCTGGCTCTCAGTCGTCCCAGTGGGCCTCCGTCCAGCACTGCACCCCCGGCATCCTGACCCTGGCTCTGCCACCCGCCAGCCTCGTCTCCCATCTCTGCCCGGGACCCCTCAGCTCTGCTGCCCCTACCCCCGTCCCACCTCCCGCATGGCTGCCTGCCCCCTCCCCGGGGCCACCTGACCAGCATTCTGTCTGCAAGACTCCCAGCCCCTCTCCCCTGCCCCCTTGGTCCCCAAGAGGGGGCCTCCACCGGCCAGGAAGTCAGGAAAAAGTCCGCTGGGGAGGGGCAGGGCATCTGCAGAGGCACGAGGCAGGGTGCAAGGTGTGTGTGTTGGGTGGTGGGGGTAGGGAGTTAGTGCACCTGGGGGCGGGGCTGCCCGGCAGGCAGGCGGGGCCTCACCTGCCTTCTCTTCCCCAGGACCCTGACCCAGGAGGACCCCGGGGACAGCCAGATCACGCTAGAGGAGATCACACAGCTGGTGAGCCCGGCTGCCCTTGGCTCCCCTGCCGGCCAGGCCGGCCCTCCCCGCCAGCCCCTCTCGAGGCCCCTGGCTGAGCCAAGGCCCCGCCCGTGTTCATTTCCCGGGACTGCCCTGGCAAAGTCCCACAAAGCAGGTGCCCGCAGCACTGGCAGCCAGAGCCCCTCCAGGGTGTCACCGCGGGACGCCCACCCTTGTCCTGGGGGGGGCCATCTTCTCCTCCCCCAGCGATAACCCCATCTGAATTAGACCTGCACACACACACACATAGACCCATGCGCACACTCACAGACCTGCACACACACACAGACCTGCATAGATACAGACCTGCACACACACACATAGACCACATGCATAGAGACCTGCACACACACAGACCTGCACACACAAACCTGTATACACACATAGACCTGCACACACACAGACCTGCACACACGCACATAAACCACAAACATAGACCCATGCGCACACACACAGACCTGCACACACACACAGACCACACACATGCAGACCTGCACACATACAGACCTGCATAGATACAGACCTACACACACACACATAGACCACACGCATAGAGACCTGCACACACACAGACCTGCACACACACACATACAGAACACACATATATAGATCCACGTGCACACACACAGACATGCACACACACAGAGACCACACACAGACCCATGTGCACACACACAGACCTGCATAGATACAGACCTGCACACACACATAGACCACACGCACAGACCCATGTGCACACACACAGACCACACACATAGAGACCTGCACACACACAGACCTGCACACACAAACCTGTATACACACACATAGACCTGCACACACACAGAGACCTGCATAGATACAGACCTGCACACACACATAGACCACACGCATAGAGACCTGCACACACACACAGACCTGCACACACACACATACAGAACACACATATATAGATCCATGTGCACACACACAGACATGCACACACACAGAGACCACACACATAGACCCATGTGCACACACACACAACCACACACACACAGACCTGCACACACAGAGACTTGCACACACATACAGACTCGCACACACACACATAGACCACACGCATAGAGACCTGCACACACACAGACCTGCACACATACAGACCTGCACACACACATAGACCCCTCCACACACACACATACCTGCACACACCTAGACCTGCACAAATACACAGACCAGCACACACACATAGACCCCCCACACACACAGACCTGCACACACACATAGACCCCACACACACACACCTGCACACAGAGACTTACACACACATACAGACTCGCACACACACATACCTGCACACATAGACCACACACATAGAGACCTGCACACACAGACCTGCACACACACATAGACCCCATGCACACACAGACCTGCACACATACAGACCTGTACACACACATAGACCCCACACACACACAGACCTGCACACACACATAGACCCCACACACACACAGACCTGCACACATACAGACCTGTACACACACATAGACCACACACACACAGACCTGCACACACACACAGACCTGCACACACAGAGACTTGCACACACATACAGACTCGCACACACACACAGATCTGCACACCCCAGCAAGCAGTATGGTGGGCACTTTCCCCTGCCCTCCACACTCCCCACCCCCCACCAGGCCTGAGGCAGGGGCGCCCTCAGCAAAGGGGCCAAGAGCCAGGTGCCAGGCGGGGTCCCTGGAGGGCCTCACTCAAGCCCTCCCTTGCTCCCGCAGGCCGAAGGCGTCAAGGCCGAGCCCTTCGAAAGCCACTCGGCCCTGGAGATCGCGGAGCAGCTCACGCTGCTGGACCACCTGGTCTTCAAGAAGATCCCGTACGAGTGAGTGGACACCCACCCCAGCCCTCCCTGCCCCTCCCCGGGCCAGTCCAGCTGCGCCCCTCAAGTCAGGGCAGCAGCCTCCAGGGGCTGCACGGATTCGCCCCTGCTCGAAACAGACACGCAAGCCTGGGGAGAGGCCTTGCATCTGCCCCCAGGTTCTCGCCCGTCAGCTGCACACACACATGGAGCTCCTACTCGGGGGTCTGTGTTCACATGTGTGGACGTGCGTGTGTGTGTGTGTGCACGAGCAGACTGGGGACAGCTCGGGACTCCCAGGCCTGGTGTTGCCTGCTCTGGCCCGCAGTTGGCCACTCCCACGTTCACTGTAATTATATGACCTCAGGCAGCAGTTTTTTTTCTCTAACAACGGTGTTTGCAAACGCAATTTTTCAGTAAACGCCTGGCATTCTCTCACCTTGCAAGTTGCTTGCAGCTTTGACTTCGTATTTTCAAAGCCGAGATAAACATGCATGCAGCCGAAATACTCCTCTGGTTTCTGAAGGTTGCCCCAGCAGGTGGGGGGCTGGGACTCACTGCATGGCTTTTGGTCTCTGCCCAGAAGGACAGCCCTCCCCCACCCTGGCGCCCTCGCAGCCGTCGCCAGCTGCTGGAGAGGCCTGCGTGCTGGGAACCGGCCACACCTGCCGCACCCTGGGGACGCTCCTGCCTCATCCCCTGGCAGGCCAGGAGCCGGGGCGGTGCGTGCCAGGTGCCCACTACCACAGCACGCTCCTGCCGTGGCCTGCCGGCCCCTGTTCCTTTTTCTGGCCTAGGGTCAGCTGCTGCGGGGGTGAGGGAGATGGGATTTTCCGTTACGGGAAGTCCAGCCGCTGTCTCAGCCTGGGTAACTGGCAAAAGGAAGAGGTTTGTGTAGCTCGCAGCTCTGGGCCTGGTGCCGCCGGCAGCACGAGGGAACCGAGCGCGCGAGAGGGAGACAGCCCCTGATGAGACAGGAAGCCAGGGAGACAGCGTGGCCAGGCTCGCTCCTCCTTTACAGCCTTGTGGGAAGGGACCAGGTACCCGGGACAGCTACATTAATCCCTTCCAAGATATGACGGCACCAGCTTCCATTAGCCCCACCTCTTAAAGGTCCCATACCGGGGACCACACATCCAGCACATGAACCTTGGGGGAACACAGTCACACAGCGTCCAGGCCAGAGCCGGGACGAGACACAGTGCGCCCACAGCACTTTACAGCTAGTGGTGCACCACCCCACCCCGCCCCATGCCCGCACAGTATCCCCGCTGCTAGTCCCATTTTGTAGAACTGGATGTGAAGGGCTTGGCCGAATCCACACAGCAGCAAGCCCGGGGTTCCTTCCTGGACAGGGCCCTGCAGAAAGTCACTAACAGCCCCGGAAAGCAAAGACATCGTGAAACCATGGGGTCAACAAAGCAAACCTAACCTCGCCCATCGGGGGTGGGGGTGGTCTCTCCCCTTGCTTCCTGCAGGGAGTTCTTTGGACAAGGCTGGATGAAACTGGAGAAGAATGAGCGGACCCCCTATATCATGAAAACCACGAAACACTTTAACGACGTGAGTACAGGGCGGGCAGCGCCTCTGTCTGCTGGTTCTGTCTTTGGCAGGTCCCTCCCGAGGCTGGGCACCGAGGGAGCCACACACCTGCTGGCTCCCAGCCGTGGGGCCCGGGGCTGACAGCTTTACCGCGGGCTCAGGGCTTCTCCTGCACCATGGGGCTGACTCTTGAAGGATGCATGGATTTCAAAAAGGTTTTGGACCCAGTAAACTTACCTTTACTATGACGATGATTTACTTGAGAGACGGACAGAGAGCTGGTTCACTCTCCATGCCCACAACTGCCAGGGCCAGAGCCAGAAGCCACGACCCCAGCCCAGGCATGGCAGGGCCCCAGTGACGGGAGCCATCACCTCTGCCTCCCAGGACCCACGTGAGCAGGAAGCTGGAGCCGGGCACCAAACTCAAGCACCGTGTCGCAGCACAGCCTCTTAACCGTGAGGCTGAACACCTGCCCCCGAACTTCTCTTTTGATTCTGTTCCCCACAAACTGTTACAAGTACACTCGTACATTTCCCAGAACACTTGGAACCTCCTGGAATGTTGGCTGGGTTTCAACCACCCTACATGTGATGTTCCAGCCCCTTCTCGTGACAGGTGCCGTGGCCCCGCGGCAGGAGACACCAGAAGCCACAGAGCCAGATGAGGGTGGCCCAGTGTCTGAATCCTCCCCCAGAAACCCCGCACCTTAGCTCCCTGGGAAGAGAGGGGTGGGACCCAGCACTGGACCTGCGGCGGGGCCCCGTGTGCAGAGCAGGAAGGGCCTGGCCTGAATTCAGACAGGCGCATCCCACAGCCTGCTCCCGGAGTCCCTGAGCTCACCGACCCGCTGCGAGGCAGCCGCTGCCTTTCCTGGATGCCCGGTGGAAGATAGCTGGGTGGGGCAGACTTCCCTGCATCTGCCCAAGCTCTGAGGCCAGCGACCACGCGAGCCATCAGCTCCCGGCCTCATGACGGCCCCGCCGCAGTACTTGGCGTGGCCAACTCCAAGGTTAATCATCAACGCACCCTCAAGAGCCTGGATGGCCGGAGGTGGGAGCGCAGGATTCCACTTGTCCTGACCACCTAGCAAACAACACTCCACCGTGACAGGGGCCCCTGGCAGCCAGGAGGAAACAAGAAAGCCCAGGCTTGGCTGCTCCGGGAGGAGCCCCTGGGGCCTCCCAGCTCTGGACACCACGCCAGTGGGAGTCTGAATGAGACCCACGTGCTGGACACAGGCCTGGGCCTTTAGAAACGTCCGCTCACTTCATCCTGCTCCTGCATTTTATGAGTGATGAAGCCGGGGTCCCCTTCACTGCTCTGCCCCACATCACCTGGCCCCAGGCTGCCCTTGAACCCCCGCAGTGGCCCCTTAGCCGCCTGGCATTTGGCCATTTCTCTGTGCCAGGGGTTTTCAGGTGCCCAGAATCTGAGCCTATCATGGCCTCCATCTCTCCCTGGCCTTATTAGCTCTTTTTTTTCCCCAATTTTTATTTATTTGGTTTCATGTATGTGAAAAGCAGAAAAACAGGCAGAATTCTTCCATCCGCTGGTTCACTCCCCAGATACCCGCATCAGCCAGGGCTGGGCCCGACTAAAGCCAGGAGCCTGGAACTCCATCCCACTCACTCCCTTGTCCTCACACCTGGGGCCCGCCTTGTCCTGTCCTGGGGCCGGCCTCTCGGGGACAGTGTGGAAAGGAGGTGGTGCTGGCGGGTCTGGCTCTCAGTTTTTGGGGGGAGGCTTCTAACACTGCCCCATTTAGAATGCTGATTTCTGTAAGTCTGCCTTTCAAATGGCCCCAGTGGCTACAATGACCAGGCCGAAGCCAGGAGCTTCTTCCGGGTCTCCCACGTGGGTGCAGGAGCCCAAAGACCTAAGCCATCTTCCACTGCTTTGCCAGGCTATAGCAGGGAGCTGGATCGGAAGTGGAGCAGCCGGGACTCGAACCGGCGCCCACATGGGATGCCGGCACTGCAGGCGGCGGCGTCACCGGCTACCCACGGTGTGGCCCCCTAGCAGTTTTCTAATTCGTGCTTTCGCCTCCCTGCGCTCTCTCCCTGCCTCCCGCGTGGGCTTGCAGATCAGTAACCTGATCGCCTCGGAGATCATCCGGAACGAGGACATCAACGCGCGGGTGAGCGCCATCGAGAAGTGGGTGGCCGTGGCCGACATCTGCCGCTGCCTGCACAACTACAACGCCGTGCTGGAGATCACCTCCTCCATGAACCGCAGCGCCATCTTCCGCCTCAAGAAGACGTGGCTCAAGGTCTCCAAGCAGGTGCGGGCCGGGCCGGGCGGGGCGTGGCGGGGGCGGGGCAGCGCTGGGGAGGGGAGGGGGCGGGGAGCCGGGGCGGGGCCGGGGCGGGGCGCCGGGGCGGGGGGGGGGCTGGGGGCGTGGCGGGGGCGGTGCCGGGTCTGGGGACGGGCTGGCCTGGGGGCGTGCTTGGGGCGGGGCTGGGGGCGGGGTGGGGTTGGGGACGTGGCGGGGCAGGGAGCCGGGTCGGGGAGCGGGCTGGGGGCAGGGCGGGGAGCGGGGCTGGGGGCGGGGCGGGGAGCGGGGCAGCGCTGGGGAGGGGCGGGGGCAGGGAGCCAGGGCGGAGCCGGGGCGGGGCTGGGGGCGGGGCGGGGGCGGTGCCGGGTCTGGGGACGGGCTGGCCTGGGGGCGTGTTTGGGGCGGGGCTGGGGGCGGGGTGGGGTTGGGGACGTGGCGGGGCAGGGAGCCGGGTCGGGGAGCGGGCTGGGGGCAGGGCGGGGAGCGGGGCTGGGGGCGGGGCGGGGGGCGGTGCCGGGCCTGGGGACGGGCTGGCCTGGGGGCGTGTTTGGGGTGGGGTTGGGGACGTGGCGGGGCAGGGAGCCGGGTCGGGGAGCCAGGGTTGGGGCGGGGCGGGGGCGGGGCAGGAAGCCAGGGCGTGGATGGGGGCGTGGATCTGGGGGCAGGGGCGGGGCGTGGTGGGGCTGGAGGCAGGGCAGGAGCCGGGGCTGGGGGCCAGCAGCCTTGCCCCTCCAGCATCCAGAGGAGTCCCTGGGGCCTGCCGGACTTCCGTCCCCCCTTGAGTCATTAACAGCCCAATGTGGGAAGTGTGAGGCAGGGATGGGCGGTCCCAACCAGAAAGAGTGGCTTCCCAGCCCCCTTCCGGACCTTCAGGGAGGCTGAGATGGTGGCCGGAGGACCCCCAAGTCCCCGTCAGCAGCTGCTCCGGCCGCCGCCCAGGCAGCTGGTCCCTGTTACCTCCTGGATAGTTGCTCCTCTTAAATGCGGCTTTCAGAACGTGATGCTGGAATGCACACTCGCTGGGTGCACTGTGGCCGCCCCCGTGTGTGTGTGTGCGCGTGGGAGGCTGAGCAGGCCCACCCGTGTGAGTGGTCCTGCAGCCAGTGCCAGGGAGACCCTCTGGCTCCCCTCTGGGCCTGCAAGCTGCACCCCTTGCTGCCCATGGGCAGGCAGTGATGGCGTGCCGTGACCCCTTCTCACTAGAAGCCAAAGTCGGGACAGCCTGGGACAGCCCCGCTGCCCCCTTCCCCTGCTCGCTCCACCCCCTCGCACCCCAGGCAGACCGAGCCTCTTGCCCCTGGCACATGGAGACATGGCTCTTGTCACATTTGTGGGCTCTAGGAAAGAACAGATGCTGTAAGCCTCGGGCATACAAGGCACGGGTCAAGCAAGGCTCCATGGAGCCTACGCATCACCCAGGCTGATTCGAGCGCTCAGGGCTGCAGTAGGCCAGTTGTAGGGTCTGGGGGTCTGTTGTAGACCCCTCATTGTCTCCCCCTGCCCTGTGTTATCAGTCTTTCCCAGAGCAAAGATTTATTTGTTTGGGAGGCAGAGTTAGAGAGAGAGAGCAAGCACCATCTTCCATCGCTTGTTCACTCCCCAAATGGCCACAATGGCCGGAGCTGCACCAGTCCAAAGCCAGGAGCCAGGAGCTTCTTCCAGGTCTCCCATGTGGGTGCAGGGGCCCAAGCACTTGGGCCATCATCTGCTGCTTTCCCAGGCCATAGCAGAGAGCTGGATCAGAAGAGGAGGAGCTGGGACTAGAACCAGTGCCCATATGGGAAGCCGGCACTGCAGGCGGAAGCTTAGCCCACTACACCACAGCACCCTGTCCACTTCCTTGGCCACTTTCTCCAGTACCCTTGTCCCCGTGGAGCTGGGAGGGAACAGCCACCTTGGCCATCTGAACCTCTTCCCTTCTGGGACAGTGCAGGTCAAGGGCAGTGAGTGGCCAGGGCACGAGGCCTGGCCTATGTTCCGGGAGAGCACGCGGGACCCAGGACCGTCCAGCCTGCTGCAGAAGTCACAGGTGCCCTCGGCAGGCTGGACCCACCGGCTTCTCCGCCCTAGCAGCTTGTGCATCCGGGGTCTCCGGCCGTGGCCGGGTCAGCAGCTCTCTGCAGGTAGCCCCTGGACACCTGGGACCCACAGTTGCTGGAGGGCCGGCAAGGTGGGCTCAGAAGCAAGTTTTTCTTACTCCCAGCGCAGAGCAGCCTCATGTCCAAGTCCGGCCTGAATCACAGCCAGCGGCCAGCGGTCAGGTTTAGACACTTGTTGTTTCCCCCTCTCCACATCCTCTTTACAAATAAAAACTAGCCTCCCAGGGCTCACTAGGTTAATCCTCCACCTGTGGCACCAGCACCCCATATGGGCACCGATTCTAGTCCCAGTTGCTCCTCTTCCAGTCCAGCTCTCTGCTGTAGCCCGGGAAAGCAGTGGAGGATGGCCGAAATCTGCACCCACATGGGAGACCAGGAGGAAGCACCTGGCTCCTGGTTTTGGATCAGCATAGCTCCAGCCGTTGCAGCCATTTGGGGAGTGAACCAGCGGAGGGAAGACCTTTCTCTCTCTCTCTCTCACTGTCTGTAACTCTACCTGTCAAATAAATAAATAAAACCAGCCTCCCCTGGAAAAGGGCTGGTAGTGCCCATGTGTGGGTCAGTACCGATGGCTAACTTGATTTTGGGGATCCCCTGTCCCGGGGACACGAAGCCCAGGAGTCTCTCTGGCTCCCGGTGGGAGAGAACGTCCTTGGCCAAGCAGGAGGCTTCTGCTAGGTGAACAGAGGATGGTCAGGAAAAATCGTTGGCTTCCTGCTCCCCGGATGGACTCCTTGGAGTCACCCCTTCCCCCAGCCCCTCTAAGCCACTGGGGTCTCAGGAGCTGCCCGCGTTTGCGAGGACCCCTGTGTCCACGCCCGTGTTTCTTAGAGGTGTGTGTGCGTGAGCCCCGACACACGAGGCAAGGACCCAGACCTGACCCCGCAAGTCTCCCCCAAGCCCCCGCCCCCGTCTCCAGACCCGAAGCAGGTGCAGCACGGGCCGGGCGCATGTGCGCCAACGCTTCTCATTCTTTCCAGACCAAGGCTTTGATCGACAAACTCCAAAAGCTTGTGTCGTCCGAGGGCAGATTCAAGAACCTCAGAGAAGCTCTGAAAAAGTAAGTGTGCGACATTACCTCGCTGTTCTTCCTCAGCGCTGGCACGGGGCTTCAAGCACCGCCCCTGGCCGCAGCAGGACGTCTGTCTCTCTGTGTGTCCCTCTGTCTGCCCACAAGAGCCCCTCCCCGCCCCCCCCCCGACCTCCCAGACACCAAGAGTGAACCCAGAGGCCCCGTGTCCTCAAGGCGATGGGTCGGCTACATGTCGTTGGACTTCCAAACCCACAGGGCGCTGTACCCACCATAGCCCCAAGAAACGCAGTCCAGGAACCCAGCAGGGGGCAGGGTGCTCCACCCAGCAGGGTTCCTGGAGCCCGGCACCCTGGTTTATTTTGGGGTGGGGGCTGTCCTGGGCGTGGTGGAACCTTCAGTAGCACCCCGGCCTCTGCCCAGGGAATGCCAAGGGCGCCCCTCCAGCCAGGGCAGACAGAAATGCCCCCGGGGAGGGAGAGATGGACGAACGTTCCCTGAGAATGAGCCATCCCGAGGCAGCCCCTCTCACTCTGTGTTTCCACAAAGACGCTGCGCAGCCAGGCGCCATCCGAGGCCGGTGCCTGGTCCCCCGGGGCTCCTCCAGGTTCCTCCAAGGAAGCCATGGCTCAGCCCGGGTGTAGGCGCCTTGGCCACTCACATGTGTGAGACGGGTCTCCCTCCCCTGGCCGGGCTGCTGCTCCCTCCAGGCTCCTAGCTGTCCCTCCGTCACACGGTTGCTGCCCCCCGCCCGGAGTGCACCACCCCCCAAATCTGGGTGTGGGCCAGGCAGAGCCCCCGGCCCGGGCCAGACGCTGCTCACCCCCGCTCTGCCGCCTCGTCTCGTGTTTGCCCTGTGTCCTCGGCCTGTCCCTCACCGGCTCCGTGTGCCATCGCCTTGACCATCTCCACTTTGTTTGTGTCTCAGACAGATGTCCCACCCATCTGTGCTGTCGGCCGTCTCTCTCCCGCCCGGGCTCCCCGGAGCCCCCGTGGAAGGTGCTTGGGGCAGCGGCCCCACCGTACATTCACCAACCTGTCCGTCCGCCCCCGGGCGTCGCTCCATCCGCCTCCTTCACATGGCTTCCTCGTCGGCTGCGTGGCCCCCCTTTCTGTCTCAGGGTCCCGTCCTCACTGTCTGCCCCTCCCAGGTTACTATAGGCCGTGTAAGTGCCTCCTCCCCCAGCTTCTCTGCTCCCTGGCGCACAGGGTCCAGGGGGTATCCTGGGAGCTCAGCCTTTTGTGCAAACCAGGAAACGCAGGGCCCTGCGGGACAAGGAGGGGGCTCTGGGGGCAGCATCTCGGCACCCTTTCCCTCGGAGCCATGCCGTGCGGACACGGGGGTCCAGTCATCAGGCAGGGACAGTGGCAGAAGCAGCAAGGTAAGGGTCTGTATGGATAGGGAGGGGACCAGACAAGGAGCCCCCCCGTGATGGTCTTTTGAAAATTCATGGGGAATGTGAGGCGTGGAAAAAAGCTAGGCACAAATTTCCATATCGTGGGCACCAGAATAAACTCTTCATTCCACTTTTCTGTGCACCTTTGGACGTCCCTCGTAGGTCCTCAGTCCCGATCCTTTGTCCCAGGCATCGCCCTCACCTTGACATTCGAGTGTCGCATCTGTGCCGACCCCCAGGCAGGAGGATGGCTTTGCAACCTTCGAGCAGCCAAGGCTGCATCCCCAAATCCCAGCCGCTCTCTTAAATACCACTGCCCCCCCTTACAACCCTTGCCACCTGCTACCCCTTCGTTCCCCTCCCAGGTACCCCAAGAGTGGCCTTATCTCTCTCTTGCAACCCCCCCACACACCCCGCAAAGCCCACAAGACCCTGCCCTCCTCAGCCTCCCAGGGAGTGGACACAGCTCCACATGACACAACCCTGGCTGGCAGCGAGATGAGGTCCCAGCTCTCGTGGGCGTGGTTCCAGTTTTGACTGCCCTGTCCTGTCTCAGCCCAGCGCCCACGTGCTCGTCTGTCCCATTGTCTTTCTTTTTTTTTTTTTTTATCTTTTATTTAATGAATATAAATTTCCAAAGTACGTCTCATGGGTTACAATGGCTTCCCCCCCCCATACCGTCCCTCCCACCCACAACCCTCCCCTTTCCCACTCCCTCTCCCCTTCCATTCACATCAAGATTCATTTTCGATTATCTTAATATACAGAAGATCAGCTTAGTATACCTTAAGTAAGGATTTCAACAGTTTGCTCCCACACAGAAACATTGTCCCATTGTCTTTCATTTGAACAGGGATTTAGATTTAGAGGGACCTGGAGTACAGGCTTGTGTGTAGCCTGGGGACAGCTGTGGGCGGGAGGGCGGGGGTGGGGACCGGCCAGCCCATCCTCCCAGGAGACAGCAGTGTGCAAGTCCATTGATTGATGTGGATTGCATGAGCCCAAAGTCCAAAGGCTGAAACTCTGGAATCCCAGAGTTCCAAGGACTCATGCAAGGTCACATACCTGCTCCGGCTTTGTTTTCTGCCGGTGGCGCCCCGCAAAGCCCAGCCTGCTGCTGGCGGCATGAGAGGCCAATGGATGTCCAGGTGGCAAAAAAGCACAAGTGGATTCTCCAAGCTGACCACTGCAACATTTTATAAAAGATTTATTTGGTTATGTGAAAGGCAAGAAGAGAGAGAGAGAGAGAGAGAGATCTTGCCTCCGCTAGTTCACTCCCCAGATGGCCTCCATGGCCAGGGCTGGCCCAAGCCAAATACAAGAGCCAGGAACTCCATCCAGATCTGGGTGGCAGGGGCCCAAGCACTTGAGCCGTCATTTGCTGTCTTCCCAGTGCAGGGAACTGGGTCAAGAGTGGGGTAGCCGGCACTTGATCCCAGCCTCGCTGATGTGGGGTGCGGGTGTCCCGAGAGCATCACCACGCCTGCCCCTCTGTGTCTTTTAATTGGGGATTTAGTCGGTTTGCATTCAAGGCAATTGTGCATAAGTAATGACTTAGTCTTGTCATTTACAAAAAAAAAAAATCTTGTATTTTGAGTGTTCTTGGTTCTAATAGGGGATGCCGGCATCGCAAGTGATGGCTTAACCCACTACACCACAATACCAGTCCCTACAATATTTTTATCTATCACAACTCATAGTGGAGAAATTGTTATAATAATTACATAAAGTACATGGAAAATGGGAAGAAAAGGAAAGCTTATTTTGGTGCAAAAGCATGTGAAATTCGTGCCTGCGTTTTCAAAATAGGCAATTTCTGTGGCCCTTCTGAAGATCTATTGGATGCATGGGTTTCAAAATTTTTGTACCAGAGTAAACTTACATTTTAATTCCACTTTTCCACAAGCCTTTAAAAAAAAAGAAGAAGAAAAAAAAAAGAAGAAGAGTTATTTATTTATTTGAAATAAATTCAGTGGTGGGGAGAGACAGAGAAAGATCCTCATTCCTCCAGTTCACCCCCCAGATGGCCACAACCAGAAACCAGGGGCTTTATCCGGGTCTCCCCCGTGGGTGCAGGGCCCAAGCACTTGGGCCATCTAATGCTTTCCCAGGCACATTAGCAGGGAGCTGCATTGGAAGTGGAGCAGCTGAGACACAAACCATTGCTCATAGGGGCACTGCAGGCAGCAGCTTTACCTGCTACGCCATAGCACCGGCCCCATAAACCTTCTGAAGTACCCTGGTGTGTGTGTGCATGTGTGCATGTGTGTGTGTGTGTGCGTGTGAAACTACAGCCCCGTGTACCAATGCATAACAGGAGCAAAAATTCCACAAAGCAACACCTGCCCTTATTCCATGCAATAAACTCAGATAGTTTCTGTTCTAGTCCTTTTTTTTTTTTTTTTTTTTTTTTTTTTTTTTTTTTTTTGACAGGCAGAGTGGACAGTGAGAGAGAGAGAGAGAGAGAAAGGTCTTCTTTGCCGTTGGTTCACCCCCTAATGGCCGCCACGGCTGGCGCACTGCAGCCGGCGCACCGCACTGATCCGATGGCAGGAGCCAGGTGCTTATCCTGGTCTCCCATGGGGTGCAGGGCCCAAGCACCTGGGCCATCCTCCACTGCACTCCCGGGCCACAGCAGAGAGCTGGCCTGGAAGAGGGGCAACCGGGACAGAATCCGGTGCCCCGACCGGGACTAGAACCCGGTGTGCCAGCGCCGCTAGGCGAAGGATTAGCCTGTTGAGTCTCGGCGCCGGCCTCTAGTCCTCTTTCTAATATTTCTGTTTATTTTATTTGAAAAGCAGAGAAAGATGAGGACAAAGAGAGTTCTCCCATCCATCCATCCATTGGTTCATTCCCCAAATGCCCACAACAGCTGGGACCAGGCCAGACCAAAACTAGAAGCCAGGAACTCCAGCCGGGTCTCCCACGCGGGAGGCAGGGACTCAAGTACTTGAGCCATGACCAGCTGCCTCCCAGGGTGTGCATGGGCAGGAAGCCGGAAAGGAGAGCGGAGCTGGGGCTCAAACCCAGGGACGCCGATAGGGGGTGTGGATTCTCTGGCAGCAGCTTAACTTGCTGTGCTAAATCTCCACCCGTGTTTTTTAAAGCTTTATTTCACTTATTTGAAAGGCAGAGTTAGATAGATTAGATATAGATAGATAATAGATAGATAGATAGATAGATAGATAGATAGATAGATAAAGATAAATGATAGGTAGGTAGGTAGATAGATAGATAGATAGATAGATAGATAGATAGAGATAAATGATAGGTAGATAGATAGATAATGAAGATAGATAGATAAAGATAAATGATAGGTAGGTAGGTAGATAGATGAAGATAGATAGATGATAGATAGATAGATAGATAGATAGATAGATAGATAGATAGATAGATAGATAATGAATATAGGTAGGTAGGTAGGTAGGTAGGTAGGTAGGTAGGTAGGTAGATAGATAGAGATTTAGAGAGCACAACTCTCAGCCCACCCAGCACGGCGTCAGTGGCGTCGGAGCTGTTATCCATGAGGACTCGGAGGACCAGGGTCACACAGCAAGCAGGCAGGAGACAGAGCCTGGGCTCCTGTCCTTGCTCTGCCACCCTCCCGGCCTCATCTTCTCCCGGGGTGGCCCCGAGGAGACAGGTGAGACGGGCGGGGGAGGGGCTCCTGCCGCGTGCACAGCGATTCCCCTGCATCTGTGCGCCGGGCTGGGAGGCTGCAGGGCACTGCGAGGAGTCCCTGTGAGGGAGCTAAAGGGAGCCCCAGCAGCTGGAGTCCCCCACAGACCCCCTCAGCCCCTCACCCAGCTCCTGCCCGGGGCGCAGTGCATGCCGGGAAGAGGGGCCTCAGAGCCGCGAGTCAGAGGTGGGGCCGTCATCAGCCCTGGGTCCTGTCTCCCTAGAAATGCCGTCCCCAGTCGGGGAAACTGCCGCTTGTAGCAAAGTGAGCTCAGAGGGTGAGGGTCTCCTGCTGTGCCCCCCAGCTCAGTGGAGACAGGACAGAGTGGCTGCAGGAGTGGGGGGCAGGGCCGCAGAGGCCTCTGGGGAGGGACTTGGGCAGGATCAGCATTGGGGATTTCAGCAGACAGAGGATGGGTGAGTCGGAAGGGGCTGGCGACAGAGGGGCAGCGGACACACAGGCGGAGCGAGGTCTTCTGGCTCAGGGAGGGAGGAGACAAGGAGATGCCCCAGCCCAGGCAGGCCCCCCGCCCCCCCGTCAGCCCACGGCACCCCCCCACCCACAATCGCAGCCGACAGTCCCAGGCCCGAGAGCACGCGGTGACTCCTGGGGCCGGCAGCTGCCTGCGAGGCGCTGTGATGGTAGCACGAGTTCCTTTCTCCAAGTGACGAGCTTTGATGAATGCCGTTTGCTTCCAAGTTGTGACCCACCGTGTGTCCCCTACCTGGGGATGTACCTCACCGACCTGGCCTTCATCGAGGAGGGGACGCCCAATTACACGGAGGACGGCCTGGTCAACTTCTCCAAGATGAGGATGGTGCGTTTCCCACCTGGGCGTGGGGGGCGGGGCTTCGAAACCCAGGCTGCACCTCGGCTTCTCCAGCTCTGCCCGCCGGGGACCCCCACACGGGGTGCCTGAGCCCAGCTTCTGCCTCATCGCCATCGTGTAGGGGCGGGTAGCATGGTGGCCCTGAGCCGTGCTCTGCTAACTCCCACAATGCAACAGGAGGTGCACCTTACAGAGGCTGGGGGAGGCCCAGGGACCCTCACAAGGGAAGGGCAGAGCCAGATCCGGGTCTGGGCGACCCTTTGTTCCCACACCCCCGTTACTGTTCATAGAAGCACCAGCTCTCTCGGGCCAAAATCGCGGCTGCTGTGCCTCCTACGAGAGGAGGCGCCAAATCCTCCCAGAAAAATCTAGAACATGGAAGGGGGTGGGGGACAAGGAGGCGGGACTTCTCGCCCGCTCCTTCCGCCCTCTCACGGCAACCCGGGAGCCTCTCTGGGCTTCCGCGTGTGGCCAACAGAAAGGGGCATGAGAGATGCCATTTGGCGATGGGACAGGGGCCTGTTGAGTGGTGCCCGGTCCACCATGGGCACTGGGAGAGCGGCAGAGGGCCCTTGGGGGGGCAACCACCATGGGGTTCTGTTTCAGCAAGGTTGGGTAGCTTGTGTCCGGCGTGGGGAACACTGTCTCCGTCACACAGAGCCTGCCTAATCCACAGAGTCTCGACCAGCAGCACCTTGGAAGCAAGCTGCTGACTTTAAACAAACAGATAAATATGTCCGAGCCTGGCTTCAGACGCAGCTGTGGACTCCGCCCCTTCAGTTCTGCAGGTGCAGAAGGGCGCGGGGAAGGCAGCCGGCTTCTCAAACTCTCCCTCCTCCCCACAGATATCCCACATCATCCGGGAGATTCGCCAGTTTCAGCAAACTGCCTACAAGATAGAGCACCAAGCAAAGGTGAGCGCATTTCCCGGTGATCGCCCCCCCGCCCCCCGTCCCTGTGGCTCCATCTGGACCGCGCCGTCTCCCCCTCACCTCCGCATGGCTCCGCTTCCTGCCTGTCTTCCCCTACCTCCCAAAGGCCACCCCTTCCAGGAAGCCGTGCCTGCCCCCTGCCCCCTGGTCAGACACAAGGCTGAGCTCGTGGCTGGCCTCACCCAGGAAGAGAGAGGCAAAAACTCATAACCTCCCTCTTGCAATGTGCCGTGGCCACGAGTTACAGAAGTCGCAGGTCTCCCTCCCAGAGGCAGCGGGGTCACCCGTTAAACCACACTGTGGCTGTGGCTGGCATGTGCATGTCTTCTTCCCGTGCTGGGTCTGAGCTGCCGACCAGACATCGTAAGCATCGCGGCTGTGGCTGATTTGGGTTGCCTTTTTTTTTTTTTAATTTAATTATTGCTATTTACAAGGTAGATAAACAGACAGACAGGCAGATATCTTCCATCTATTAGGTCACTCCGAAAATGCCTGCAACAGCCAGGCCAGGCTGAAGCCAGGAACTAGGAACGCCATCCGGGTCTCCCACCAAGAACCCAAATACTTGGGCCATTAGGGGAGGCGTTATGGCGCAGTCGTTAGAGTACCTGCTGCCTCCCATGGTGTGTGCATTAACAGGAAGCTTGATTGAAATCAGAGTAGCCCAGAACTCAGAACTGGCAGTCTGATATGGAATGCCAGGGTCCCAGGCATCCCAGCTGCTTACCCCTCTAAACCAAGTGCGCGCACCCTCCCCTGTCAGCTGTCAATCAATCAGCATTCTAGACCGCTGGTTCCAGCCCTGGGGTGCAGAGAGAGTCAGCCTGGACCAAAAAAAAAAAAAAAAAGAAAGAAAAGAAAAGAAAAAAACTTGATTCTTCTCCTGCAGCTATCAGAAGACTCACAAACAGAACAAGAAATAGAAGGGTTTTTTCTTTCTACTCCGAGCTTCTGGGTGGGGAGAGGGGAGGCACCTTGGCTGGAGACGATGGGCCAGTAGATGAGCCTTGCTTGGGGAGCCTCTGGGGGGGCTGCCTGCAGGGGTGGAGCTCTCCGCTCCCACAGAACCTGGGCGCAGGGAGGAGCAGGGGGGAGGAGGAAAGGGTGACCCCTCCCTCTCTCTCCTGGGCGAATATCTTATGGTTCTGTAGAATCCCGATGTGTGAGAGGACGTGACCCCAGTATTTTTTTTTCTTAAGATTTAACTTATTTATTTGAAAGGCAGAGTTACAGAAAGAGAAGGAGAGAGAGAGAGAGAGAGAGAGAGAGAGAATCTTCCATCTGCTGGTTCACTGTCCAATGGCGGCAACAGCCAAGGTTGGGCCAAGCAGAAGCCAGGACCCAGGAACCAGGTTCTTTATCCGGGTCTCCCATGCAGGTGCAGGGGCTTATGCACTTGGGCCATCTTCTGCTGCTTTCGCAGGCGCATTAGCAGGGAGCTGGATTAGAAGTGGAACAGCCAGGACTTGAACCAGCGCCCGTATGTAGCAGCAGCTGTACCCGCTACATCAAAATGCCGGCCCCTGTCCCAGTATTTTACGATGGAATTTTTCAAACATACAGAAGCGTTGAAAGTGGTAGGAACACCCACACACCTGTTGCCTGGACTCTACAGTTGACATTCTAGACTTTTTTTTTTCAAATGGGGAAAATACTTTGAAAAGTTCATGGGAGATGGAATTAAAAGATAATTTTACTTGGGTGCAAAAAAAAATATTTTGAAAGCATGCATAAGAAGGATCATCAAAAATGTCATGGAAAATGCCTACCATGAAAAAGCTATGCATGGATTTTTGGTTTTGCCCCAAAATAAACTTAGCTTTTAATTCCATTTTGTATGAATTTCTGAATCCAAAACACTTCAAGTTTACAACCAAATGAACAGCAGCCAAGGGTAATGTTGACCCCAGGTGATGTAATATTAATAATAAGACCATTTCAGTTTTTATTCTTTTATTTCAAAGAGAAACAGAGCTCTCATAGTCTCGTTCATTCCCCCAGTGCCCGCATTACCAGGGTTGGGCCAGCAACTCCATCCAGGTCTCCCAAGTGGGTGGCAGGACCCCAGCTACTCCAGCCGTCACCAATGCCTCCTAGGCCGTCTATATTAGCAGGAAGCTACAGTCAGGGGCTGGCACTGGGGCTGGAACCCAGGCCCTCGCACGGGGGACGCGGGCATCTTCACCACCAGGCAACACCACCCGTCCCCCAAAGAGCGCTGAAGAATAAAACCGAGACAAGACACCCGGAGCCTGGGCGCCCCGTCCTGCCCCCCGCGGCCACCCCAGGAAAGCCCGCAGGGCGGGCAGCGTGGGATGGGCCCCTCCGCCTACCGTTCCTCTTCCTCTCCGCCCCTCAGGTCACACAGTACCTGCTGGACCAGTCCTCCGTCATGGACGAAGAAAGTCTGTATGAGTCCTCTCTCCGATTAGAACCAAAACTCCCCACCTGAAGCCGCCGCGCCGCTTGCGCCCCGGACTCTGCCCTGTGACGTTGTACATAATGCTCTGGTCTCTCTGGGTCTTCTCCTTCAGTACGTGCTTCTCCAAGAACCCGAATCCGTTCTTGTTCTTAGATTCCTGCAGAACCGGGATAGGAGTTCCTGTACCGTTGGACACGCTGCCCGCCCCGCCACGTAGTCTGTCCCTCGAAGACCCCCTCCCCTCTTTCTGGGGGCTGGTGGGGAGGAGACAGAACCCGCACAGACACGAGTCTTAGCCTCCGCCCTGCTTCCCCCCTGCCCCAGCTCCGGGGGCCCTGGGCTGAGTTGGCCACCCAGGGACACCCCCCCCAGCATGTCCCACGTAGCTGTTCTAACTGGGTGGGGGGTGGGGTGGGGTGGGAGGCGGGAGGGGCGACTGTACCCTGAAGTCCAGTCACTGGCGAATCTTCCCGCTTCCAAAGCAGCTTTTTCAGCCAAAACCGCAGGTCTCAAAAAAGAAAAAAAAAAAAAAGAAAAAGAAAAAAGAAACTCCCCGTCTTGTCTCCCAGCAACCTGGACTGAAGGGAGCCTTCTCCGCACAGGACCGGGCCCCTCCCACCACCGCCGCCCTGTCGCCCCAGCACCCTGTGGCTCCCGGCTCTGGGACGCACGGGGAGCTGGCCTGTGCGGGGAGCGCAGAGTGGCGGCTGTGAGTGGCGGGGTGGGGGCGGGGGGCCCTGCCAGCCTGCACTGGAAGGCGGGAACACAAGAAATGTCACTTTTTCCTCCTTCAGCTGCCTACCTGTCGCCGTAAGCTTCCGTTGAGCTGCTCAGAGTCTGTGTGCCCTGTGGTACTTAGCACCCCTCCGTAGGACTAGTGTTTTTATTGCATATACTGTAGTCCTGTCTAAACGCCTTCTAGCAGGAATATAGTAAGGTAGTGCTTATTCTGTGAATATCACCATGTATTTTTTATGTTGTACAGCATAGGAAACATCGGTGAACTCCGAAGTGGCAGGCATGGTCCACTACAACAGACATTTTGCTGTAAGCAATACCTAGTGGTATGAGAGTTCTCTTTCAAGTTCTAAACTATTTCAACTTACAGCTTGTTTGGAAGAAAAAAAAAAGAAATTTCCATTTTTGTAAAAATATATGTTTCCTGATTACCTCTTGCTAATAAATCTATTCTAACTCAGGGTGAACACTGCCTTCTAAGGAGTTTCATTCATTTGCGCAAGGAATATTTGTGGGCTATTTTTAAGATTTATTTTATTTATTTGAAAGGCAGAAAGAGAGAGAGAGAGAGAGAGAGAGAGAGAGAGAGAGAGAGAGGTCTTCCATCAGCTGGTTCACTCCCCAAATGGGTGCAACGGCCAGAACTGTGCTGATCCGAAGCCAGGAGCCAGGAGCTTCTTCCAGGTCTCCCACGTGGGTGCAGGGGCCCAAGGACTTGGGCCATCTTCCACTGCTTTCCCAGGCCACAGCAGAGAGCGGGATTGGAAGTGGAGCAGCCAGGACTCGAACCATATGGGATGCCGGCACCGCAGGCTGGGGCTTTAACCCATCAAGGAATATGTGATCAGCACTTGCTGCTTGCCGGGCCCCAGGCTGGGAGCAGAGACCCAGAGCCCGGCAGTTCCTCCTCGCACCAGGGACAGACCCTGGGCTGGCGGAGCAGTTTTTGCGGAGCCGCGGCCATCTAGGGCAACAGCGACCCAGGTGTCGGAGACGGCGGTGCGCTGGCGGCGCTGACAGGAGCAGCCACACATGGCCGGTCCCTGGCCCTGGGGCCTCTCGCGGGACAGTAGCTGGGTCCTAAGAGTTGACTCTCCAAGAGGCCCAGAGGGAAGCTGCAGGGCTTCCGATGACCCACGTCACAAGTCCCAGAATGTCACCCCTGCATTTTTCTCTTTTTGAGAGGTAAAAGCAGAGAAAGCCCCCATCTGCTGCTTCACTCCCTAAGTGCCC